TCGTTAGAGTAGTGGGGGGTGGGGGAGGGAGAGGTGTCAGGGGCAGCATCAAAGCGACTGAAAAATAAGTTCAGTTCGTCAGCTAGCTTGTGGTCGTCAGCACAGGAGGGGGCTTTGGGTTTGTAGTTGGTGATCTCCCGTAGGCCCCTCCAGACAGAAGCAGTATCGTTGTTACCAAACTGCTCCTGTAGTCGTTCTCTGTGCCGGGACTTGGCTGCTTTCAGTTCTCTCCTGAACTGATATTTAGCTGCTTTGTAGCCGCTGCGGTCCCCCTCCCTGAAAGCAGACTCCTTTGCTTTCCTGAGCTGCCGGAGTTTAGCAGTGAACCAGGGTTTGTCGTTGTTATAGATGACCCTGGTCCTTGTTGGAATGATGCTGTCCTCACAGAAGTGAATGTATGACGTCACAGTGTCCGTATATTCATCCAAACTATCTGTGGCAGCTCTGAAAAGGTCCCAGTCTGTAGATTCCATGAATGCGCGCAGCTCTTCCACAGCTTCATCAGACCACACTTTGGAGCTCCTCATTGCAGGTTTCGAGAGCTTTAGTCTCTGTCTGTAAGCAGGAACCAGATGTATCATGGAGTGATCTGAGAAGCCGAGGGCTGGCTTGGGAACAGCGCGAAAAGCTCCGCGCACGGTGGTGTAACAATGATCCAGAGTGTTCTCAGATGAACCAAGAATAACCACAGATGAACCATGAATAACCTCAGATGAACCAAGAATAACCTCAGATGAACCAAGAATAACCAGATGAACCAAAAATAACCACAGATGAACCAAGAATAACCACAGATGAACCAAGAATAACCACAGATGAACCAAGAATAACCTCAGATGAACCAAAAATAACCAGATGAACCAAAAAACACCACAGATGAACCAAGAATAACCACAGATGAACCAAAAATAACCACAGATGAACCAAGAATAACCACAGATGAACCAAGAATAACCACAGATGAACCAAGAATAACCACAGATGAACCAAAAATAACCACAGATGAACCAAGAATAACCACAGATGAACCAAGAATAACCACAGATGAACAAAGAATAACCACAGATGAACCAAGAATAACCACAGATGAACCATGAATAACCACAGATGAACCATGAATAACCACAGATGAACCAAGAATAACCAGATGAACCAAAAATAACCACAGATGAACCAAGACTAACCACAGATGAACCAAGAATAACCACAGATGAACCAAGAATAACCAGATGAACCAAAAATAACCACAGATGAACCAAGACTAACCACAGATGAACCAAGAATAACCACAGATGAACCAAGAATAACCACAGATGAACCAAAAATAACCACAGATGAACCAAGAATAACCTCAGATGAAACAAGAATAACCACAGATGAATCAAGAATAACCTCAGATGAACCAAGAATAACCAGATGAACCAAAAATAACCACGGATGAACCAAGAATAACCACAGATGAACCAAGAATAACCACAGATGAACCAAGAATAACCACAGATGAACCAAGAATAACCACAGATGAACCAATAATAACCAGATGAACCAAAAAACACCACAGATGAACCAAGAATAACCACAGATGAACCAAGAATAACCACAGATGAACCAAAAATAACCACAGATGAACCAAGAATAACCACAGATGAACAAAGAATAACCACAGATGAACCAAGAATAACCTCAGATGAACCAAGAATAACCACAGATGAACAAAGAATAACCACAGATGAACCAAGAATAACCTCAGATGAACCAAGAATAACCACAGATGAACCAAGAATAACCACAGATGAACCAAGAATAACCTCAGATGAACCAAGAATAACCAGATGAACCAAAAATAACCACGGATGAACCAAGAATAACCACAGATGAACCAAGAATAACCACAGATGAACCAAGAATAACCACAGATGAACCAAGAATAACCACAGATGAACCAAGAATAACCACAGATGAACCAATAATAACCAGATGAACCAAAAAACACCACAGATGAACCAAGAATAACCACAGATGAACCAAGAATAACCACAGATGAACAAAGAATAACCACAGATGAACCAAGAATAACCTCAGATGAACCAAGAATAACCACAGATGAACAAAGAATAACCACAGATGAACCAAGAATAACCTCAGATGAACCAAGAATAACCACAGATGAACAAGAAATAACACAGATGAACCAAGAATAACCACAGATGAACCAAGAATAACCAAGATGAACCAAGAATAACCACAGATGAACCAAGAATAACCACAGATGAACCAAGAATAACCACAGATGAACCAAGAATAACCACAGATGAACCAAAAATAACCACAGATGAACCATGAATAACCACAGATGAACCATGAATAACCACAGATGAACCAAGAATAACCACAGATGAACCAAGAATAACCACAGATGAACCATGAATAACCACAGATGAACCAAGAATAACCACAGATGAACCAAGAATAACCTCAGATGAACCAAGAATAACCACAGATGAACCAAGAATAACCACAGATGAACCAAGAATAACCACAGATGAACCATGAATAACCACAGATGAACCATGAATAACCACAGATGAACCAAGAATAACCACAGATGAACCAAGAATAACCACAGATGAACCAAAAATAACCACAGATGAAAAGATGAGCCTTTAACAAACCTTCCACAAATGTGATACATTGGTGTTTGTTGGTCCCTTTCCTTCCCTTCTTTAAAACAAGCCTTTTTCCATAAAACGTCTAAAAATAAAACTGTCCTTATTGCTAACTAGCGCATCAGCATTTGTGTTTCTTTGCAGAGAAAACCCATATTGCTTTGAACTCTTTTACATTCTACAGCGTGTTGGTTTCTGTCCTGCCAAAAGAATTATTGAACACAGTGAAAGTCATGTATTGTGCATAAGAAATGAACATTATTATCGGTTATAGACGGCTTGATAGCTTCAGTTTACTTTGTCACATATTGCTTGCTTATTAACTATGAAAAAGTCCCCTGGGATGTTAGCGGGTGAGAATAACAACTGTAATATCCTGCAGTAGAAGTAATTAGCAGAGGCCGGCCGCTCTCAGGGAACCAGACTGTGCATGGTGAAGATTAAAGATTGAACCTTTGTAGTTGGGTTAAAAACCATGAAAAACAATAATAAGACAATGTATCTTGTCATTTCACGTTTTAGAATGTGAAATATTTTCAGAAGATGGTGGTAGTATCAATACCTCCATATAGCTAGTGCAGACCTATAATGCTAATGTCTAAAGGGCAGAAAAGTCATCAGCCATTATCCTGGAGGAGCTGTGGCTTAAAGCTGAGGTACGCACATTTTTACTTTTTTCTCTCACAACGGTTTGGTTCTATATCGCTATAGTTTTCACCTGCAGTTTCTGGCCCATCTTTAGAGCAGCAATTTGTACAATACAGACCACCCTCACCCAGCTCAAAGCATAAGACAGTGACTCAAAGGGCTCTTTCTTGCATCGATAGACAGACAGACAGTAGCTAGATCCCCAATAGCTACAGAAACATACAGTAGCTATTCTCCCTGGGGTCTATTTACTCTCAAGAATGAATGTAAGACCAAAAACTATGCTTAAACAAAAATACAGTACATGTTACAGTTAATGCCCACCCCACATGGGCTTTTAAGACACCATAAACACACAGATACAGGCGAACTTCTGGAAAATAGACCCAAAAAGCACTCACTAAAGTAGTCTGCAGTTTCTCCCAGGATAGTTTGAACACTTTAAAGATACAACCACTCATCGTCAATGCACGAAAACACGTCCAGATCAAGATGAGTTATTGTTGAATTAGCATTATGTAAGATTTTCATGTCAAATCTGTCAAAAGGCATTAATAAACCATGTTCTTTTCATATTCTTTAACTGATAACAGTAGTTCAGAGATATTTGGAATTTCTAAATTACTTTTCCAGCCCCTAAATCTTGTTATTGTTTTCATTTCGATGTCCCGCCCTCCACCGTTTCACCAATCAGAAAGTCTGTGATCCGGGCGCCAGAACTCACAGCGTGGAGCTAATCTCACTGGTAAAGTACCATGTGGCGCAGAACTAAAAAAGGTCTCGTTATGATTCTCAAATCATTAACGACAAAACAAGGAATAAAACCAGGATTTCTATCTTTGTGAAAAAGGTGTTGGTTATAGATTTGTTGTTGACAAAACTCTTGTCTATTCAGCTGTTATGGTCCCAGCTGGATTTGTCTGCATATCTGGCAACCTGAGTCAGGGAGAGTGGGAGAGGCTGCAGTACCACTTTTGGCCACACGTTTACAGACGGCTCCTTTAAGATGCTAACTCTGCACTTTCACACATTTACATACTCTTTCTGTCGGGAAAATATAGGTGTGACGCACAGCAATAAGCAATCGAACTGTGTCTGCGCTGTACTTAAACGCTCGTCTCGTCTCTTACTGTAGATATCGCCCACCTGTGTCCTTCAGTTAACCAATGTACAGCTCCCCCTGTTGGACAAGTGAAGCATTGTGGATCAAGCTGGCAAAAAAATTGCTTTATTTTGTTATAGCAAACATCAAAATGCAAAGTTATCGTTCAGGAAATTAAAGTTCATTACAAACTTCATTAAAAAAATCATACAGCGAGAAAAACACAAATTATTGAAGTAGATTTATCTTTAAAAGAAAAGTGCAGATAAAACACCTTTTAGTTAACCACACAATTAAACACATCCTCATAAAAACAACATTATCACACTTTATTTTGGGTCGATTAAGTGAATGGAACAAATGATACCACACACAATTGATGTAAATATTATAGATAGGTGCAGAGATGTTGTAAAAGAAGCTCTTTAGGCCTGATCCCAGGAACAAGAAACCCCTCACCCACAAGTAAATACACACAATACACACAATACACTCAAACCTGCTTCTAGAGCGTTCATCTCTGAGAAACACGACATACACTCTGCTCTCTCAGAAAACAGGCCACAGCGAGCAGTGAAACGTATTCACACATTATCACACGACTTTTTCTTTTTCTTTGAGGAACATTTCTGCTCTTTGAATACGTCTTGGTTTTCGTCTTTCTTCCAGGTCAGTTTGAAGTCTCCCAGGTTGTTCGCTTTAAAGTGTTGTTGCAGCTAAAGAAAATGGAGAACGTTCATTATTCCAAGTAACGAGATGTAAGGTGAAGGTAAACGTTATTGTCCTGTTGGAAATGTGAAAATATCAGTATAAAGTTGTATCTAATGTCCACATGTGTGCATCGCTGGAGTGACGGGTTTATTCTGCGATCATGAGCAGCCTCGTCAAAGTTTCACTGATTCTGAATTCTCCCGTTTTAATGTTGTCACGTCTCCGAAAATATTCAAAGTCTTAGCTACACAAACCTGTTCCAATATTTCGGAGCTGAATTGGTTGAGATCCACTGGTGAGGACATTTTTATTTTCACCAAAGTATTTTTTCTCTTCAGAGCTGAAAAAAATCAATCAATCAACTTTTATTTGTATTGAGCCTTTCCTACACAAGGCAACACAAAGGGCCTCATATGGTTTTCTTATATATGATGTGGGTTATAACCCACATCATATATAAGAAAATCATAAACGTTAAAATCCACATATACATTAAAAAACACAAGAAATATAAAAAAGAGAAAAAAATCACTAAATGTAAAAACTTTGTGAAATATGCCAAGAATAAAACTGTATGATCCATATTGTATTTTCAAACCGACTTAAATCAAGTGAAGTAAAACACGTTCTTTCTCCCATGACTTGAGTTGTTGTTGCTTGTTCTCTTACCTCCTTCATAGATGAAGCTTTTCTCTAGTCCACAGTCGTCGCTCTCCCATCGGCCCTCGGCTCCCAGTGCTGCACATTTCTTTGTCTCTGGATTTATCAAAGTGTGTGAGTTCCAGTTTCTGAAAGAGGAGTCGCTTCTGTCGGACCAGCTCCAGGTGTCCCGGAACAGACCGATCCAACAATTAGTACAATATGGGTTCTGTTTCTGAAACAGTTTGAGCAGGTCCAGTCCACTCATCAGGTCAGTGTGGTGAGTTCTGCAGAACTGCTGAGCCTCTAACCAGGTAACCAGGTTATTGGCATCATTGATCAGTACAGCAGTGTTGGAGGACTCTGTGGAACAAGAAGAGACAGTATTATTGTATTCATCTTTATTAAGGACTGAAAATGTTGAGGTCCAGAGATAAATGTTAGTCGTTGGGTTTTTATTATTATTAAACTATTGAAATAGAAATGGGTTCAAAGTCTTCCTGTTCATCTGCAGAACTGATAAACAGCAGATGAGTGCATCTTCTCGTCTTCTCTGTCTGGTGCACACCGGGGTAGTCTTGCACAGTTTTTCCTATGTGGTTTTACTGCAAATGGCAAATAAATGAATCTGAATCTGAGGTGGAGATGAACAGCCGACTGTGGCCCACTAGAGTTGTCTCTACGATGTTCACACTGACCAGTACCTGGCCTTTGATTCAAATCATCTGCTACAACACAAACTCGGGGTCATTAGAACGCTTCAACACCGAGCCCACCAGGTCCCCACAAGCTCGGAGGGAAAGAACAGAGAAACCAAACATGTTCACAGAGCATTTTCCAGATGTGGCTACCCCAAGTGGTCTTTTACTAAAGCCCAAAGGACGAGAAAGGCCAGAGACACAGTCCAACAGACAGAAGAAAGTAGGAGGAGAGGGGTGTCCTTACCGTATGTGGCGGGAGTTTCAGAGAAACTACAAAGAATCTTTAGGCAACACAAAATCCCTGTGTATTTCAAACCTTTCAACACGTTAAGACAGAAATTAGTGCATCCCAAAGACAGAACACCCAGACACAAACAGAGCAATGTGGTGTATTCAATTAAATGTAGTGAAGAGGAGTGCACTGACCACTATATTGGAGAAACCAAACAAACTCTACAGAAACGACTTTACCAACATCGTAGAGAAAACTCTAGTGGGCCACAGTCGGCTGTTCATCTCCACCTCAAGGCCTCCAACCACACGGTGGATGACACAGAGGTTAAAATTCTGGCTCGGGAGAAGAATTGGTTTGAGAGAGGAGTGAAAGAAGCCATTTTTGTGAGGAAACAAAAACCTTCTGTTTAATGTGTGTTTAAAGTAAAAACTGTTTCCTCACCCTTGTAGCAGAAAAAACAACTGCGCATTGCATCACAGTGATAATCATACCACAGGCCATCACTGTCCATATCTACACAGCTCTGAGCTACTCCACCATTAGGTTCCCCTGACCCCCACGGAGCGGCTGATTCATTGTATTTGACAGTGGGCTGAGACCAGTGCCATTTCCTGTCTGTGAGATTGTCACTGGTTTGATGAAGTCCGATCCAGGCGTCCGTGCGTCCGTTTGCAGCAGCCGTCAGGTTCTTCAGGTCCTTCATGCTGTTCACTGAGGCCAGGTCTGTGTGCTGCTCTCTGCAGTGACTCTGAGCCTCAGACCACGACATCTTCTTATCTATAAAGTGGTACTCAAGGTCCAGAGACACTGAGCAACACAGCTGACCTGCAGGGAGAAAACACAAACTAAACATATCTTCATGAGTTCAAATGATGGGGTTGAAGAGTAGACTTGTCAAGTAAAATGTTTGAAATATGTGTGATTCATTGTAAGTTTAGATAAGATAAGATATACTTTATTGATCTCACAAGGAGTAATTTACAATCACATTAATGTGATTAATCGCAATAAAGTATTTCATGTTTGACAGCACTAAGATGAATGATGAAGAGTAACTAAAACTCACTCAGCAGCACGGAGAGCAGCAACGTCTGATCCATCTTCACTTGAAAAGAAAAAAGGTATTCAGTGTCAGGGAAAAACCAGGACAAAACCAGGACAAAACCAGGACTGAACCAGGACAGAACCAGGACTGAACCAGGTCTAAACCAGTGAGGCATATCGCTGGTCTTTTAAAGTCTGCTCTCTCTGCCCCCTGCGTGTTGGATACACTTGTATTACAGAGAATTCTCTGGAAACACCTGAACACATGTCTCACCCAAATGAGTTTATTTTTGTTCAAATGTAAATGTTATAGTCAAAGAGGCTACACAACTCCAACACAAATGATACAATGTGTTTGCAGCTTTTCCTTGGAATCATTTTCATATTCAAAACTAAAGAAGAGACTTTCACATGCTGTATAATGTTTCAGGAAAGAAAATGTTTAAAAACGTTCCAAATTAATTATTGTTTTTAGTATTTGCTTAAACTAGAAGTCCCAAACTAAAGTCCCAACCAGGTCTGTCCTCTCATTATGACTGATGTGGACTTGTATTAGAGGAAGTCTCTGAGCTCAGTGTGGAGGGAGCTTTTCAACATCAGTCCAGGGAAAATAGTCTTGTGAATAATTCTGGTGCATTTACAGTAATGTTTATGAAAGTTCCTGTCCCACTGACCGAGTTAACTGAACAATTCCAAACAAATAGCTGTTAAGTTCATAGTAACCCATATTCAAATTCTCCTTGTTACCATAGTAACTCAAATCAAGTGATACTTTGCGGCAGTCTCGGGCGGAAGTTTTGCGTAGCTGTCATAAACAGAGCTGCTGCCGGCTCCATAGATCCATGGCTGGGGCCGTCTGTGGGTGGGACGCGAGCATGGATCTATTTGCGAGAATGTCCCTTTATCTACTTATCACCCTGCCCAAATGTTTATAACTTTGCACTATTTATAAAGGTATTTTGATGGACTGATATTGAACCATAGCAGCTACTTATTTTCTAATGTGCTCCATGTGTGCTCTCACTACTGTCCTGTATGTGCGCTGCAACATTGACATTTCCCCACTGTGGGACAAATATTATCTTATCTTCAGGAGAGCTTGTAGAGTATAGTTACATCTTTGATTGTGTGGAGAGGCTCTGCAGCCAAAACTCATTTCCAACACTTTTGGGACATTCATACACTTGGCCCTCATTTATGAAAGAATATATTCCAAATACGCACGAGTCAACGTGGCATTAATGAACGTGTGAGATACGCACAGATCTGCGGACTTGTGGACATGTGGACATGTGGACTTGTGGACTTGTGGACTTGTGGACATGTGGACTTGTGGACATGTGGACTTGTGGACATGTGGACATGTGGACATGTGGACTTGTGGACATGTGGACTTGTGGACATGTGGACTTGTGGACATGTGGACTTGTGGACATGTGGACTTGTGGACATGTGGACTTGTGGACATGTGGACTTGTGGACATGTGGACTTGTGGACATGTGGACTTGTGGACATGTGGACTTGTGGACTTGTGGACTTGTGGACTTGTGGACATGTGGACTTGTGGACTTGTGGACATGTGGACATGTGGACATGTGGACTTGTGGACATGTGGACTTGTGGACATGTGGACTTGTGGACATGTGGACTTGTGGACATGTGGACTTGTGGACATGTGGACTTGTGGACATGTGGACTTGTGGACATGTGGACTTGTGGACATGTGGACTTGTGGACATGTGGACTTGTGGACTAGTGGACATGTGGACTTGTGGACTTGTGGACATGTGGACTTGTGGACTTGTGGACATGTGGACTTGTGGACATGTGGACATGTGGACTTGTGGACATGTGGACTTGTGGACATGTGGACTTGTGGACATGTGGACTTGTGGACATGTGGACTTGTGGACATGTGGACTTGTGGACTTGTGGACTTGTGGACATGTGGACTTGTGGACATGTGGACTTGTGGACTTGTGGACATGTGGACATGTGGACATGTGGACATGTGGACTTGTGGACATGTGGACTTGTGGACATGTGGACTTGTGGACATGTGGACTTGTGGACATGTGGACTTGTGGACATGTGGACATGTGGACTTGTGGACTAGTGGACATGTGGACTTGTGGACATGTGGACTTGTGGACATGTGGACATGTGGACTTGTGGACTAGTGGACATGTGGACTTGTGGACTTGTGGACATGTGGACTTGTGGACTTGTGGACTTGTGGACATGTGGACATGTGGACTTGTGGACTAGTGGACATGTGGACTTGTGGACATGTGGACTTGTGGACATGTGGACTTGTGGACATGTGGACATGTGGACATGTGGACATGTGGACTTGTGGACTTGTGGACATGTGGACTTGTGGACATGTGGACTTGTGGACATGTGGACTTGTGGACATGTGGACTTGTGGACTAGTGGACATGTGGGACTTGTGGACATGTGGACTTGTGGACTTGTGGACATGTGGACTTGTGGACTTGTGGACATGTGGACATGTGGACTTGTGGACATGTGGACTTGTGGACATGTGGACTTGTGGACATGTGGACATGTGGACTTGTGGACATGTGGACTTGTGGACATGTGGACTTGTGGACATGTGGACTTGTGGACTTGTGGACTAGTGGACATGTGGACTTGTGGACATGTGGACTTGTGGACATGTGGACATGTGGACTTGTGGACTAGTGGACATGTGGACTTGTGGACATGTGGACATGTGGACTTGTGGACATGTGGACTTGTGGACATGTGGACTTGTGGACATGTGGACTTGTGGACTTGTGGACATGTGGACTTGTGGACTAGTGGACATGTGGACTTGTGGACATGTGGACTTGTGGACATGTGGACATGTGGACATGTGGACATGTGGACTTGTGGACATGTGGACTTGTGAACATGTGGACTTGTGGACATGTGGACATGTGGACTTGTGGACATGTGGACTTGTGGACATGTGGACTTGTGGACATGTGGACTTGTGGACTTGTGGACATGTGGACTTGTGGACTTGTGGACATGTGGACTTGTGTGGACTTGTGGACATGTGGACTTGTGGACATGTGGACTTGTGGACATGTGGACTTGTGGACTTGTGTGGACATGTGGACTTGTGGACTTGTGGACATGTGGACTTGTGGACATGTGGACTTGTGGACATGTGGACATGTGGATAGGGCAGTGAGACATTTGGAGTGTAAAATACATTGCTGTACCAGATGTGAGGAAAAACACACTGTAAAAAATGTCCTTGTAGAAAAACGGTAAAAATCTGGCAAATATAGTTCCAGGAATTTACCGTTTTCTCAACATGACGTTACCGTTGCTAATTTTAACGGTTAAAGACTGTTTCACTGAATCACATTATGTCTTTGTGATTTCATTGAACAAAAAACTACACAGTTTAATTTGTTTTACTTTAATGAACCCAACTTTTCAATTATTTTTTAACATCTTTAGTTTATACAAGAAAGTAGTTGAAATGTTCACTTCTAAAACATGCTTAATGCAATATCATCATTTCAACTAAAGCAGGAGTTTAAATGTGTAAGACGTACCTTTGACACTCATGGTTGCTTGCTAGCAAAAATATATGTTAAATTACGGTAATAATACCATAAAATCACATTATTGTAACGTTTTATTGTAATCACATTATAATTGTGGTAATAAAACGCCACTGGATGTTTTTTAACCAATTTATACTTAAATTTGCATGTTTGAATTGTTTTTCAGAATAACATTTGTTTAATGTTGAAATTTCATTGTAATTTTACAGATATTTGTTTCAGTGCAGATAGCCGTAATTACGCAGCGCATGCCACATATTTACATTCCTGTTGCGTAAGTCAGTAAGTGAGAAAAGTGTATTTGCATAGAGCCTTTCACAGTCCAGGATCACAGAGCACTTCCCATTTAAAAACACACAGATCAAAGTAACACTGCACACAAGTCACATTTAAAAACAAAGAAACAAACGACACACGATGAAAACGCAGATTATTATTTTGAGTGTGAATATGGTAATTGTTGTCCAAATCTTCCATGTTCACGAGTGGTTTGGTGTGTTGTAATGAGCGTACACATTTCCACACCTCCTCCTGACCTGGCGTTACCGCACGCTCACGTCCAGATTGATAAATGCTGAATAGTGTAGTAGTAGTAATCTTTATTTATATACCGCCTTTTCACTGCAGATCTGAGTCTCAAAGCGGTTTACAATTGTTAATTTGGGCATTTGTCTCTCACTCCACACACAGATGGGAGCAGGGCCAGTACAGGAGGCACATGCCAGAACTATTGGACATATTTTTAGTGGTAGGGGAAACCGGAGCACCCGGAGGAAACCTACGCAGACACGGGGAGAACATGCAAACTCCACTCAGAAAGGCCCTGGTCCGACCGGGATTCGAACCCAGGACTTTCTTGCTGAGAGGCGAGAGTGCTATCCACTCAGCCGTTGTGCGTCACACTTTGACAATGGACTATAACTTATTACTTCCAGCACCAACATCTTCATTAACTCACTGACTGCCATTTTTGATGATTTCACTGATTCTCAAGACCCACAGAATATCTTGTGCTATGACTGTGTTAACTATGAAACCAGATTCTGAAAGTCTAGATTGTCTACTTTCATCAGCAAAAATAAGTTGGTTTCTAGATAGTTTTGTTGTCCTGTGATGCCCAGTGGAACAGAGCCAAGTTTGACAGAAATCACCAGTCTCAGACAAACCCGTCAGTGGCCGTCAATGAGTCACTTTTCTCTGATCTGAACCAGTATTTTCTAAATTTAACGTTTTCTCTAAATCAGCTGACATACGTGTTGCATAATACTTAATTGAGTGAATAAGATTGGCCTGAGTAGAAATAATCTAATTTCAAGGATGTTTTTACGACTCATTCCAGAAAGTAGAGCAAAAAGTCGCACACTTCCACAAACAAACTTTTCATGTGAAACCAAACTGTGACAATCTCTGCACTTGGCCACTCTCTGTGTTGGTCTGCAGTTTCTGAAAGGCCCTAAATCACAAAAGATGATAATGCTGTCCTAATTACTTTATCATTTGAAATACATTTACCTGGACAATTACTTCTCCTGTGCACAGTGCCCCCTGGTGGACAAATGAAACACTGCGGATCGAGCTGGAAAAAAGACTCGCTTCATTTTGTTTTAGCAAATATCAAAATGCAAAGTTAGCGTTTGAACCAACAATGTTTATGTGTGATAATAATGATCTACAGCTAATGCAAGTTTAATTGTATAGAACATTTTATACACAAGATAAATCAAAGTGCATTACTATATTAAAATAATCATACAATAAGTAAAACATGAATTATTGGAGTAGATTTATCAAACTTATTTTTGTATACTTATTAAACGTATACAGGAGGATTTTTCAGAATTTTCCGAAAGAACCGCCCTCTCCACTTTTTGAACCAAACTCTCTGGTCTTATTTGACAAACACGTATCACCAGAATGATTGACAATTGAGTGACAAAACACTGTATAAACAAGGTAAAACGAAAATACATTTTAAAATCACTAAATCAATTTGACTCACTTTGACCCCTGTGCCCACACTTTACAGGTAATAATATGAAATGTTTATTAATAAGATCAATAGCAGTAATATACAAGTTATCCATGAATAAGCTTGTTTTTTTTAATGTATGTTTAAAGTAAAAACTGTTTCCTCACCGTTGTAACAGATAAAACAACTGCTTTCATATAAACATTGATAACACTGGGTAACAAAAAAATATGTTTTGAAAATAGTCCAGGGTTTTCAGCTGAATTAGACTAATGTTGATGCTCTGAGTCTGAAAATAACCTTGGTTAGGATCAGGTCAGGATATTTTGCTACAGAAATATTTTTTTAAATCAATTTTGCGTAAAAAACAAATTTCTGCGGATCATCAGCGGAGAAACCCTTGACGTTTTTTCCGTTTTCCTCAAGAAATAAAAGTCAACGTATCCAAAGTCATTCAGTTTTTATTTACTCCATCAAATTTGATGAGCAGAATTCATAATAACGTAGACGTACATAATCCGTAACACTGTGGCTGTATCTCACAAAGTTGACCTGATAGAGCAGAATGCATGAGATATTCGGACTCAGAACACCAACATTAGGTTCCCCTGTTAAAACGGATCCATGGGTTCGGCCCAATAATATTCACCTGTATCCATTTTGTTAGCAGTCAGGGCTCTGGAGTATTTTTCATAGTGATGGTTATGACACATATCACTGTAAAAACGTCCCTCAAGCAAGTCCCATAAGTGAAAATCATGAGCACATTCTACTTAAAAAGATCAAATCATTTTACTAATAGTGCGTTATTAGACTTTGTGTGTGCGTCACGGAGCAGCTTGTTCATGGTTGTGTCTGCAGAGCTCCAGGATCCATTGTTCTGTATGTTTTCTGGTGCAGGGGAGAAAACCTTCCAAACCAGTGATCCATAGAATTGTAGAGACCATGCTGAGCACCCATGCAGCTACTGGGGAAAAAACTGACACTTCAAAACACATAGTTTCATAATGAGCCTAAATCATAATGTTGTCCTAATTATTTTACACTTTGAATTAGATTTACCTGGACAAGAACTACTCCTACCACATTGACTATTTAAGAATAATGTTTATCTCTTCGACCTGCAAACATTAAACAAAGAAGGGCATCTTCAGTCTCCCTTTAACGCCACAGTGAACAGTACGAGTGGATTAGATCGAAAGTCTCACTGGTACAGAGCGTGGCGAGCTGTGCGTACGCAGCCCATCTGATTGCACGTCCTCTTTATCAACCGTGATTTCAGACCTGAATCCAAACGCACTGACAGCCAAGGAGAGCGGGAGATGAGATTATTGAGATGCAGATAGATTTGTCACGTATCATCTGCCAACAAGTCACAGCAGCAACCAGGAGATGTTTATGAAAGTCGGAAACGCAGGTATTACAAGCAACGACACGACTATTTCCAAATGTGGCGTTCTCTCTGAATTACGCGTCCGCTCGCCACACACAACTGAAAGACCTCCAAGGCTCCAAGGAAAGGAAGCCACCGGAGAGAAATATGATCATAGACTGTAAATATTAACAGACGTAGTCAGGCCTATCTCCGCCGTTCTAACTAATGGGCCAAAAATTGGGCTGTCATAGAGTGACTCAAAATGGCCGCGGGGGCTGGAAAATGGGAAAAAACACATCTGTGCATGCGTCAGCTGCACGAGCTCCATTCATTTAAACAAGAGACTTCTAAAGTCCACAGCGACTAAACTAGACTGGTCCAGAACACTCAGCATTGACACACATGTGGAACGGAGCTTTGGGCCAAGAGACAACTTTTGGACCATCCTGTAAAGGTGTTTTCTTGAGGTAAGAAGATGCTATATGTTAGCATTGGCTGTTATTACTTCCTCTGGCTCTTCGAACTCGTCCGGAAAACAGAATTCACAGAGAATGCTCCCAGTCGTTGCTCATTATTTCTTTTTTACTGAGGAAAGATATCAAATCTGATACGCGCTGCGGACCGATTCTCATGGTAACGGTCCGAGAGTTTCCCATCTCAGCCAATCAGAGCGCGCGTACGATCCAAGTCATATCATAAATATATATACGGTCACTTTAAACATAACCTTAATCTTTTGCAACCACAATCTCACGCAGGTGACAGTGTAGCGGGTTGCACGCTCACACAAAATCACTTCACATTTTCCCTGTATTTTCTAAAACATGAAAATGGCCGTGCATGTGTAAGCCTGACTCTGTCCGATCTCAAAAACTAAGAAGTGCAGGGCCTGCTTGGGTGGCTGTAAAGTGCCAAACATCATCACGTCCTTAGGCAGAGTTCCTAGTATGACAGTCTGGTGTGTGTTTGAATGAATTGTGGTGGTCGGAGGGCCGATGGCATAGATTAGTAGCCTCACTTCTGTCAGTCTACCTCAGGACACCTGTGTATACGTTTGCCACCACTGTGAGACTTAATAATGCAACGTGAAACGTCTTTGAGTCGGCAACAAAAAACCTGTCGAAAAACAATCCATTATGTAATAGTCTCAGGATTGTATTAAGAGGCCGACACAAATAATGCATAATACAGACCTTTTTCTATTTTGCAATACATTTTTCAGATGGATTAT